GTTCACTGTTCACCTATTTAATCGTTTAAATAATAACAATCATGTTGTTTTTTTATTGGAAATTGTTAATTAGTTATATAATACACATTTATAAAAAAAATCAAATTATCACCCATAAAAAAAATCTACAGAGGAAAAAACAAATATTTCGTTTTGACTTCAACTTTAACCTTCAATAACTTTTTATTGAGTGAATTTAGCCAAAAATGTTAAAAGGCTTTTTTTGAAAAGCATTTGATTTCCCATAAGAATATTTATCGGTATTTTTCTGGGTACTGATTTTTACATGAATTACAAAATTCCAAAGTTAAAAGATCAAAATGTAAAACTATACCAATTTTTAAGGCATGGTTTTAAGGAAACGGTTCATCTGACGCAAAATTTCATTTTAACCTTTTTTGTAGAGCATTTAATTTTTTTTTAAAAATATTTCTGAGTCAATTTTGTTAAACTCAATAGTTTGGGAGTTCTGAGACAAAAACTTGTTGAAGAAAATATTAATATTATGGACTCAAACTTTCACAATAATTTTTTTTGTAAACCCAAATCATATTTTCGATATACTTTTCAAAAAAAAATTAGTTGATTTTTTTGGCCCAGTCTAGTATACATAGTTTTTATGACAGGCAAATTTTAAAATTTGGTCTGGTTTTAGACATTTACCGTTCTTCAAGTTCAACATCTATTAAAAGGTTTCTATTGTAAAATAAAGGCAATTCATTTGAAATAATTGTAACGCTAATAATTATTTCTAATTTGCTATTAAAATAACCTATTATAATACCACACAAAGTAGACTCAGTATGCGGCGCAGAGCACAAAACAATATCCGCAGATTTTAATTTATTAAATCGAAGTATAAACAATTAAATAATAATATTATTTATTTAATTTTATGCCTTAATTTTTTTAACATGTGGGTAATATGTTTTTTCCTTATGCATGTCGAATCCAATCGGGGCCTCCCCCTAGCCTGGGGCCCCGTATCATTGATACGGCTGATACCGCGGTAGCTACGCCTCTGATTCGGACCCAATAAACTAGCAATGATAAACGACTTAGATCAAAATGCGAATTAAATAATAATGTTCAAAACTATAAGCAAAAATATATTAAGAGAATCCAAAACAGGAATTTGTTTATCATTAGCGAAAATTACAATTTATAAAAATGTACATACCCAATTATAGCAGAAAATCGCTTAATACTTATATTATAATATAATTTTACAAACTTTTTAATAGGCGTATCGTATGACGGTTAAGACTTTTCTGCCTCTTTCTTCCCTAATTCTATGTTTTAAACATCTCGGGCCGAGATTCTCGGCCACTTGAGCAAGAATCTCTAACATAAACAAATCCCACTAACATTTCTACGTTCAAATACAAAAAAGTGAAATTTTAAAACTCAATAATTTACGTAATTTTAATCGTTGCTGTAATTTATATTTTATTTCATTAAACTCACAACCCACACAGTGTGATTACCAAGGACCGGATTTTAGGCAAAATGCCTTTTCGTTTCTATTTCAGGCATTTGTTTGGGACCTTGATATTAATCCTAAACTTAAAAAAATAAAGCGTTTGACACCCCGTTGTTTTTGCCTAAAAGCCTAAAATGGCGAAATTTTGATTTAGGCTCCTAAAAGGACATTCTTATGAGCCTAAAATAGGCTCTTAATTTTTCAGAAAAAACATACATATTTTTCAATGTGAAAAATTAAAAAGTAATTTTTGTTATTTCTAAATATATATATATATATATTAGGGTGATTCATTTCCGCAAAGTTTTTGTTTTCTTCGGTGCTCAAGCAAAATATTAATCTGCATATAGAAAAAAAAATTCTCAACAAGTTTGAGCTCTTAATATCAATTTTAAGTACTTGCAGTTTAAATTTAAAGTTTTCCCATTTAAAATGCATGTAATAAAAATGTTTTTTTTTTTCAAATTTCTAATGCTTACCCACCTTTGACAATATTGCAAATCGGTTTAATACACCTTATGGGGAATTTCACGCTCTTTAAAATTGCTTTTGAGTTTTTTTTTGTAACTCGCATTGGTTCACCAGTAGGAGTCGTCAAAGGACAGTTTTTGAAAAAAATCGTTTTTTTTTTAATTTTTTCTAACAAACCGCAAAAAGTAGGGAGAAAAGTTTTTGTTTTCTTCGGTGCTCAAGCAAAATATTAATCTGCATATAGAAAAAAAAATTCTCAACAAGTTTGAGCTCTTAATATAAATTTTAAGTACTTACTATTTAAATTTAAAGTTTTACCGTTTAAAATGCATGTAAAAAATATATATTTTTTTTCAAATTTCTAATGCTTACCCACCTTTGACAATATTGCAAATCGGTTTAATACACCTTATGGGGAATTTCACGCTCTTTAAAATTGCTTTTGAGTTTTTTTTTGTAACTCGCATTGGTTTACCAGTAGGAGTCGTCAAAGGACAGTTTTTGAAAAAAATCGTTTTTTTTTTTAATTTTTTCCAACAAACCGCAAAAAGTAGGGAGAAAAAAGGGCTGAATCATAAAAAAGTTATCCAACCAATATTTAATGAATTTACAGCCATTTTTATAACTGAAAACGTAAGAAATTGATAATTACCAACTCATAATGTTATTTAGATTGATTTTTTCTATTTATTATCATTATATTTCCCTACACTAAGAAGTTTTTTAAAATTATTATGATTTCTCACTCATAATGAATATGAAAACAACACATAAATTCATAAAAAAAAAACAACAAAACTTTAATCGGAATATACAGAAGGTTATGTAACATATCTCAAATTTCGCTTCAAAAAATTAAATAATCTTCATTTATACTTTTTTGCTATTTTTTTATGAATTTATCTGTTGTTTTCATATTTATTATAAGTGAGAAATTAATAATTTTAAAAAACTTCTTAGTGTAGGGAAATATAATGATAATAAATAGAAAAAATCAATCTAAATAACATTATGAGTTGGTAATTATCAATTTCTTACGTTTTCAGTTATAAAAATGGCTGTAAATTCATTAAATATTGGTTGGATAACTTTTTTTTATGATTCAGCCCTTTTTTCTCCCTACTTTTTGCGGTTTGTTAGAAAAAATTAAAAAAAAACGATTTTTTTCAAAAACTGTCCTTTGACGACTCCTACTGGTGGACCAATGCGAGTTACAAAAAAAACTCAAAAGCAATTTTAAAGAGCGTGAAATTCCCCATAAGGTGTATTAAACCGATTTGCAATATTGTCAAAGGTGGGTAAGCATTAGAAATTTGAAAAAAAAATATATATTTTTTACATGCATTTTAAACGGTAAAACTTTAAATTTAAATAGTAAGTACTTAAAATTTATATTAAGAGCTCAAACTTGTTGAGAATTTTTTTTTCTATATGCAGATTAATATTTTGCTTGAGCACCGAAGAAAACAAAAACTTTTCTCCCTACCTTTTGCGGTTTGTTAGAAAAAATTAAAAAAAAAAACGATTTTTTTCAAAAACTGTCCTTTGACGACTCCTACTGGTGAACCAATGCGAGTTACAAAAAAAAACTCAAAAGCAATTTTAAAGAGCGTGAAATTCCCCATAAGGTGTATTAAACCGATTTGCAATATTGTCAAAGGTGGGTAAGCATTAGAAATTTGAAAAAAAAACATTTTTATTACATGTATTTTAAATGGGAAAACTTTAAATTTAAACTGCAAGTACTTAAAATTGATATTAAGAGCTCAAACTTGTTGAGAATTTTTTTTTCTATATGCAGATTAATATTTTGCTTGAGCACCGAAGAAAACAAAAACTTTTCTCCCTACTTTTTGCGGTTTGTTAGAAAAAATTTAAAAAAAAAACGATTTTTTTCAAAAACTGTCCTTTGACGACTCCTACTGGTGAACCAATGCGAGTTACAAAAAAAAACTCAAAAGCAATTTTAAAGAGCGTGAAATTCCCCATAAGGTGTATTAAACGGATTTGCAATATTGTCAAAGGTGGGTAAGCATTAGAAATTTGAAAAAAAAAACATTTTTTTTACATGCATTTTAAATGGGAAAACTTTAAATTTAAACTGCAAGTACTTAAAATTGATATTAAGAGCTCTACCTTGGTGAAAATTTTTTTTTCTATAGGTAGATTAATATTTTGCCTGAGCACCGAAAAAAAACAAAAACTTTGCGGAAATGAATCACCCTAATATATATATATATATATTTATTATAAATAATTATGGATAATATTAAGTTTGTACAATAATGGTTAAACATTATTATTTACTTTGTTTTCATAGGTTTTATTGTAATTTCCATATATGTATTACGTTGTGTTAACCTGTTCTGTTTGTTTATTATTGTTTTTGTGTTGCGTTAACTTGTTTTGTTTGTGTTTTAGTTTGTGTCGTGCCATTTGCAAAAATGCGGTGTGGCATATTAGGATGCAATTCGGACAACCAGTCCAAGAAAAACCCTTTAAATAAAAACATTAAACTTCATCGATTCCCGAAAAACTTTGATTTGTGCAAACAGTGGTTAAATGCCATAAAAAGAATAGACAATATTAACGTTAAGACCGCTTCTGTTTCCTCTAAACATTTTCTAAACAGTGACCTTAAGTTTAATTTAAAACACCAACTCTTAAACTTGTTATCAAGGACTGAAAGCATCTATTATCCATATTAAAACACTTGCTTTAATATTAAGTTTAATAAAAATTATGTTGTTTTTATTTCATATCGCCCATTTTAGGCGGTTGAGGCCTATTTTTGGCACTTTGGGCCCAAAACGGCCTAAAATGTAGATTTTTATTGCCTATTTATGTGTCCTAATTTTCAATTTTTAACGGCCTAAAATCCTATTTTAGGCGGTTGAGGCCTATTTTTGGCACTTTAGGCCTAAAACAGCCTAAAATGTAGGTTTTTATTGCCTATTTAAGTCTCCTAATTTCCAATTTTTAAAATCCGGTCTTTGGTGATTACACTCACACTTAGTAATGTAGGGTACCAAGTAAGTAAAAAAATTTATTTAAGAATGTTTATTTATGTCTAAAAATAACATTATTGTTACAGTTTTGATATGACACTATGTTATTTAAAGTAATATTAATTAAACTTTTGCCTGAGGATTTCTAGAAACGGAACCCATTCTTATAAAATTACTTTTTACAATAAAAAATCCTATAATTATATAACCTGGAATTAAAACAAATAATTGGTAATTGGCCATAGGGGAGGGAAGTAAACATGACCATTTATGTCACGGGGGGAGAGGGTCATACATACCTGTTATAAAGGCGAATACAAAAAACACTAGAAAGTTTAATGTTACCAGGAAATATGCAGCAAATATACAACAACCTACTGCCAATAAACCATTTAGTATTAGCCAGGGTAGCAAACAATAGCGAGAATTCTAAAAACATAGTCATTATTAGAGCGATTACAAAAAAGATGGTCATCTAAATCATTCGAGTGAATTTGGCCCAAAATTGAGGCTGAAATTTCCTCGAACGGAGGTGACATGTTTAAATACGGTAAATACTTACTCTTTTTAGGCCAACTAAAATCAACGAACTAAATAAAATTTCAATAGCACTTCCAACAATATTGGTTATTGCCCCTAAAAGTAAAATATATAAATTGTAAAGTTTAGATTAAAAAAAAATTTTGCCTTGTGAAGTTCTGGAATTTGAACATCTACAAGTAAAATTTATAAATTGTATTATATACTTAGGTAGTTTGAAATAAAAAAAATTGTGGGTACCTTTTGCTTGATTTTTAATTAGCTGTATAATTATGTATACTATACTAACGATGAACAAAATTATGAATAACCATGCTACAACTTTGGCTGATGTGGGTGAACGTCTAAAACAAAATAAAAAAGTAACTAAATATACATTGGAGGTATTTTCGGGTCGACGTCATAAGAAGCTATTATTCGCAAAACTATACAAGTATTTGATTGGACATTTTGTTGGATAATCTTTCAAATCAAACAAAATCGTTTAAAGCAAATATTTTGTGTTTGATGTCTATAACATATTGATGGAAATTGTTCTTTGTTCCTTAAATAACGCTCCTATGTTCAAGTGGAGCAGAAGCTAACCAAAGGGAATATTGAATTGTAAAAGATAAAAGAGAAAAAAATAACGACTTAAACTTAAAACAAAGTTATTTTCGGAATAAAAGTTTGATAAATGTTTCTGAGAAATGTCTGGGCCACAAATCATCATTAAATTCAAACGAAATTTCTTATCTGCATTTAGTTACTCGATGTCGATGCCGGAATTAAAGCCGCAGCTTTGATATTTGAAACTTGATAATATTTTAAATAGGAGCATAAGTATAGTGTGGAATTTATTTTCCATATGTATTTTTTCCCTGTCCCTAATTGTAGTTAGTGATAGGTAACGAGAAACAAAGTGTAGCTTTTATTTTTTCTTATTTTGTTTTCTTTTATAATAGCTATTTTCGCGGAGCTAATCCCGAACCAATTTCGGAAATCCTAGGCATGCGCTTTTTAAAATTTGGGGTTAAAAATGTAAAGCGCGCATAACAAATATTAAAATGCGCATGCCTAGGATGTCCGAACTAGTTCGGGATAAGCACCGCGAAAAAACCTAATATTTGCTTCAGTTTTTTTAATTATTATTATACCTTATTTATTGATTTTTTGTGCTAAACAAAATAAAAAGATCCCATGCATATTTCTCTTGCAGTTTATTTATTAGTCTCTTCAGTAGCCATAATTTAATAATTAATTAATAATAAACGAAACGTACCGTCCCTAATGTGGCAACATCGCTTTTAATCTAACAGTTCTTGTCAAAAATACCATTTTCAAACTTATTTTCTTAAAAACTACTGAAAAACCCGATGATATTTACCAAATATTTAAAACGTCCTTTTTCGAATGGTAATTTTTTTTGTAAATTTAGGGTGTGGTACCTACATGTATATTGTTCTGGATCCGGTATTTGAATTGTTAAGCAAATATAATGGTATACAGGGTGATTCACCTAACTTATTCATTATAAGTTGATCGAGAAAGGAAAAAGATATCCTTTTGAAATTTGTTTGGCAATTATAATTATAAGCCAATGTAAACTATTTTATAACCGTCTGTTTTTATGTAAAATTCTTTAAAAACTAAAATTTGATTATTTTTTTTATTTTTAACAGTTTTTGAGATATTAATTATTTTTCAAAAATTTTGACCGTATTGCCATGTCTGTATTACCACTAATTGTAATGTTAAAAAGTTATTTTTTGGTATAGTACCTGTTAACCAAGGAGCACTCTATTGAGAGCAACTTATAGTGTTTAAAAATTGTATACAGGGTATTTATGTTGACTTTTTTGTCACTTTTAATAACAATAAATTTCTTATTTCATACGAAACAACCACACAATTTTTACATTATTCGACACAAAATAATGTTTTATATTGAAATGCTGCAGCATTCCCTACACTTAACTAAAATAAATATATACAGAGATATTACAAAAAAATGTGAAAAAACGGCTTTTTTTATTTATAATATCAGTAGTGTGCGTTGGATTACATTTTATTTGGTATTTATAAAGTAATGTCAAGTATTGTCAACGTCTCTGACAATTGTGTTACAATGGGTGTAATAATTAGGTACATATGGCAAGTGCGAACAAGTTTTTGAAAGAACTATAGGAACTTTTAATGTGTTATATTAGTATTGTGCCTTGAAAAGTTTAAAAGTTCAAACAATATTAATGAATTTAGAGCGCTCCTTAGGTAGGAACACCAAAAATTAACTTTTTAATATTACAATTAGTGATAATACTGTCAAAATTTTTGAAAAAAAAATGAAATATCTCAAAAACTGTTTCACATAAAAAAATTATCCAATTTCAGTATTACTAGAATTTTACGTAGAATTTATAAATGCAATAATATTTATATGGTTTCATTTGAAAACTCAAAATTTATATCCGGTTGAACCGGAATTGATAACGCATAGAAATTTTTTTTAAAAATAGTATATATTTGCTTATAATTGCTATAGAAATTTCAAATTGATATATTTTATAGTTCTCCATGTATAAATATTAGGTACTCACATTCTTTCAGACATCTTTATTTTTTAATTTATTATTATAAGTGATTCGGGCACCAAAGAACTGCACTCTGATCCTATTATACAGATCACGAAAACTCTAATACCATGGTGCAAGAAAACATGGTATGATATCAGGGCTGGATGCTCCCTGGACGATTTTCGTTTGTTCCGCGCATTACGTCACACGAATAATAGCAATGTTATCAGAGAATATACAATATATCAAAGAATATACAATATATAAATATTTGGACATTGTGCATTTTTTTAATTTAATATTGAAGAAAGTGTTAATAATATGGATGCTATATGCTTTTAAAAAATATTTGATAATATTTAAATCTATTTTTTATAATTAAAAGAAAATACAATACCAATACCAAACCAAAAATTTATTACAATATGTTGTTTATAATATTTCTAGATGCTGAATGCTTTGAAAAACATTAATTAATATTTATATCTATTTTTTTATTATTAAAAGAAAATACAATAATAATAATAATATTAACCAAAAATATTTATTACAATTTTGAATTATAGTACGAATTCCCAGAATAATTTCAAAAATTCCTGTTAATTTTTATTTTTGTATTGATTTATTTTTAACCTTTCAATATTAATATTATATGTAAATTCAAAATTAAATTTGTAAAAGGGCGCGAAAGGGTTTAAACTCCATCTAAAGTTTTATAGTTAAAAAGTTTAAAGCCGGATTTATAGATTGGCTTCCTTCCTTTCTCCCTTCCTCCCGTAAAAGATGAACAGTTCCGTTTATAGATTCCCGTACGGGATTGCATCTTTTACGGGAGGAATGAAGGAACACTGTTGAAAATTTCATGACCATTTTAACACCAAATTAACACCATACATGGGCTATATCGATACAAACCAAAATAGTGTTAAATATGGTTCGTTGGTCCGGTGTAAACTCAAATACTAAAATAGTGTAAATTTAACTTTCACACAGTATTAAAATAAATTTTACCTAGTGTAAATTGAACTCCTTTTTATGTGTTTTTGGTAAAATTAAATCATAATACACAGAAAAAAAAGGAAACAGGAAGTTCCTTGACGCATTACTAGTATATTACCAGTGGTATTATTCCAGAAAATTGAACCTTCAACTCGCTAGAGATAATGTTTTTAGTGTTTTCCACCAAACTTCAAATACTTCAAGTATTGACAGCTGTTTCCACCAATTTAAGGTCTCTTTAGTACCGAACAACTTGTAGTGTCACACAAAAGCAAAGGACTACCTGAGCTTATATAATCTTCATGTAAGTCAACAGAGGCGAGATTTAAGAAGATCACGTGATCCACACCGCCTTTGCCGCGATCGGTACACACTATGCAGCCAGGAATGCACGGAAAATTGTTTTAATCGTTTTAACAGATTGCTTTAGGATGAAATAACTCTTATTTTAGAAACTACATATTTAGTAAACTGAACCATATATACAGCGGGTTGGTTTCACTAAAGTTTTCTGGGTTAATTTAACCAATTAAAAAAAAAATGTCTATCTGGTTTAGTTCCGTCAAACTAATCTTTGTTTATATTAACCTTCCCACATTTGATTTAAATAAAACTTTTGGGTCAACTAAATTAATATAGTTAAATGAACTATTCCTTTTTTTCTGTGTAGGTGCACTTCTAAAATATTTTTAGATTAACACCGTTTTGGTGTTTGCTGTATATAACATTTTCAACCATAATTCATGGTGTTTATATTAACATGGTGTTGGATTTTGACACCATTTTAGGATTACTTTTTACACCACAGATATTTTAAACAGTGAAGGCAATCTATAAATCAGTCTTAATGGTTCTACTAAAGTTTGTAGATACCTATTTGGTATTTTTCATATTTGTTCCTTACATGGTCAATATACATACATATATAACATTTGGTAATATGTTAAATTTGTATTTAAATAGAAGTATAAATGTGGGTCGTTTTTTAATTTTGAAACTTGTGAAACTCACATTTTCGCATGTCCCATTAGCGTTTTATAAAACTTACATACATGTTTTTTTAATATTGAATAACCAGAACTTTGTGTTGCTTTATAGCAATCCATAACATCCTTAGTTAATACAGTAAACAATTTATATAATTATTATATTATTAATTATATAATAATTAATTTAAATCTACTTTTTTTAAATTTGACTCATGTCCCAAACATTTTTTCCGTTGCGTTACGTCCGTCGCGTTACCGATAGAATATTAAAAAAACATATATATGGCAACTTTTTTGGCACTCACGTGATCAACAATTGATGTTCGGACGTACACATTACCCAGATGAATTTATTTATTCAATCAGGAAGAAGATATCGGTTGAAACAGGTGCGGGTAACGCGAATGTAATAATTGTTTGTCCGCTAAATTACTCAAAAAAATAATAAAAATAAGGTAAGAAAAAATACTATTTTTTATGTTTATATTTATTTTAGGGCACTTAAGCTCATTGAGAGTAATTAATGACTGTAATGTCTTATTATTATTTTTTAAATATGGTTTCACAAAACTTTTTCCACTGCGTTACCGAGTCCATTCCCACACAGCACAAGATGTCCATTGGACGTCAAATGGACTTACATTGGACGTTTGGATGTACAATGGTCGTCCGCTGGACGTCCAATGGATATATGTGCTGTCTGGGTTATGTTACCTTATGGTAACGCAATGGAATTTAGGGTAACGCAATAGAATTTTTCAACAACAAAGTGGATATTTACCGTCGCTTTTATTAAAAGTAGTTTATGATAAACCAATTTAAAATTATTTGTGATACAACTCATGATATAGATTACATCCAAGGGAAAATTCCACGCAATATACAAGTACTAAAAGGGACCTTCACCAGCTTATAGTCAAAGAAAAAGGGCGTCTACAATTTAGAAATCTAAGTTGTTATTCTGCTAGTGAGCACCACTACAAGGGATTTTGTTTATGCATTACTCTAAAATCGTATACGATTTTAGAGGTATACCACCCTTTATAGTTTCTATTTTACGTTATCTGATTAAGTCCTTTGTGTGCCCCAGTCCGTTGTGATATATGGTATACCAATGTCTATTTCGTTACTTTTTTTTGTTAAAAAAAATACTTAAAATGATTTTTATATACTAATAGAAAATATTAATGGTATTGTTTTTTTAACAAAGAATCGGAATGGTTTCTTTTAAAAAGTAACTTAACGTACATACATATTTATGGAACGCCGTTTTACTATTTATCATACATTTATACCAATGTTTCATTTAAATGATAGATGAAAAAGAAAGAAATTCGATAATAGAAATGAAATGCATTTCGTTGACCCAAGTATCATTTTAATGCTAACTTGAAATTTCTTTCCTATTTTTCTTATATATGCATGCGGTGAAACAATTTCAATGACAATTGTAATAAACTTGTATTTGAATTTAAAAGACACTCAAATTTTTAAGACATGTAAGATATCTAAGGAATCATTTAAAACAAAGTTGAATTTTTCTTACACATGAATTTAAATAACATGTGAATTTATCAAGTACATAAGCAGCTGGGTATCATTTAAATGGTACTTGCATTTTACTTTCATTTGAATTTAAATAGCACTTTAATTTTTATAATAGTTGGAAATAACAGATAAAAAAATATATATTTTTTCATTTTTATTTAAATGGAATCTGCATTTAACTAAAAGTTGAATTTAAATAACATTTGAATTCAAACGAAACTTGAATTAAATTGACACTTGAATTCAAACGTCACTTGAATTTAAACGAAACTTGAATTTAAACGAAACTTGAATTTAAACGACACTTGCATTTAAATGGTACTTGAAATTTAAATGAAAGTTGAATTTAAATGACTCAAATGTCTATTTCTTTGACCTTCACAGCTGCCATCTATCGACAGGTAGTTGAAATAATTGATTTTACAGCGCCATCTATGGTTACAACAATGCATTCAAACAAAATGTCGGTCTATGCGCCTGCTTGTATATATCTACATGTATATATCTACATGGTTTTTAAAAACCATGGTATAGTGTACGAATCCCCCACAGTTTTTCCCCTGGATTTAAATTTTATTTATTACTTAAGGATAAAGAGTTTTGTGCAGTTACTATATAAGGATTAAAGACTTAGATTAAGATCATGTATCATGGATTAAGATCATGTTTGATTCTTTTTTGATGTGACTGATCTTTTTGTTTTTGCAAAAAGATGCCGCTAATTTTCTCCCTAAACTGCAATTTGAAAATGTTACAACTACCTGTCGATAGATGGCAGCTGCTTAGGTCAAAGAAATAGACATCTGGGTCATTTAAATTCAAGTTGCATTTAAATTCAAGTACCATTTAAATGCAAGTGTCGTTTAAATTCAAGAGACGTTTTAATTCAAGTGTCGTTTGAATTCAAGTGTCAATTTAATTCAAGTGACGTTTGAATTCAAATGTCATTTAAATTCAACTTTTAGTTAAATGCAGATTCCATTTAAATAAAAATTAAAAAATATATATATATTTTATATCTGTTAAATCCAACTATTGTAAAAATTAAAGTGTCATTTAAATTTAAATGAAAGTAAAATGCAAGTTTCATTCAAATGATACACAAGCTGCTTATCTACCAGATAAATTCAGATGTCATTTAAACTCATGTGTAAGAAAAATTCAACTATGTTTTAAATAATTCGCTAGATCTCTACATGTCTCGAAAATTCGAGTATCATTTAAATCTAAATACAAAAAAAATAATTTGTTGTTGAAATGTGAACTTTTCTTACTATTTTAAAAATTTAATGTAATTTTGACTGACCCAACATTCATTTAAATGTTATATAGGGGCCAATATTCATTTAGAATAAACTATGTTTGAAATACAACTGCATAAGTTTATTTTTCATTAAAATCATGTTTAACTTTATTTGTCGTTATAAATGCACTGGAGAGAATAATCCAACTATCATATAAATACAACCATAACTTTAAAACTATAAGTTAAATTCATTTGTTTGTTTCTATGTATCATTTAAATGGTTTCCAGCTCATATTAATCAGATGTAGGTCATTTTTATGACTTAAATTTACATTGGA